AAAAGATGAGAAGTCCAGATGCTCCATTTTACATCGCTGTCAACAATATAAAATCAAAGTCCCTTGATAAATTCTGGTTCAAGAACAATGCAGTCGACGTCAATAAACTTGGAAGTCTCATGAAAGAAATGACAAGAAAAGCAGGATTGAATAATGATAAGCTTCGCAACCATAGTGCTAGGAAAACAAAGATTCAAACTCTAAGCGAAAACAACGTGCCGCCAACTCAAATTGCTCAACTGTCTGGGCATAAAAACCTAAAAAGTATTGAGAATTACAATGTAAGTACAAGACAGCAGATGGAAATGTCTCATATGCTCACAAATATTAGTACTACGTGTACTAGTGTCACTCCATTCACCCAAACTACAAACACATCAACTTCAAATGTTCAAGAAGTTTCTCCTGTTATGAACTCTGGACAACGAGCTGCAATGGCATTGTTTTCAAACGCCGTAATTCATGGAGGACAATTTTCAGTTACAATAAACGCTGTAAATCAGTCACCACCTCTTACTCCGCTCTACGAAAACCCTCCAAAGCAGCGGAAAACTATAAGAATTCAAAGTGATTCTGATGATTAGTAATTTCTATCACTAAGGTAGCCACAGTATGCATTTTTTATTCAAATTGTCAGTTAACTTAAATATTTCAAGATTTTAATATTTCATTCTGTAAACATGCATGCTGTTTTTGTGTCTTAAAAAATTACCAGATTTATTTCAATTGTCAAACTTTCTGACTTGAATTTGTAAACTATATATAATATAAAACAAAATTTAATTCAGTTTATTTATTAAAACCCTTTTTTAGTGCAGTAGTGTCCACGTTTTTGATTGTTCATTTTTAGTCAATAAGCTTATCAGTCAATATGGTCGCCTGGCCTGTAGACCAACAACTATATTAGTTTTATTGTTAGAAGTTTTGATCGTTGAAATCTCAGTATCTATGAGATAAATAAATTACAGAATGGAAAATGCTTGTACGTTTTTTATGCACTCGTTAATGCGTATCAGAAAACTCACTCGTTCGCTACGCTCACTCGTTCGTTTTCTGATACTTCTCAACTCGTGCATAAAAACCGTACGCGCGCATTTTCCATTAAGTAATCTCTATATACTGGATAGCGGATTTTCTGAAATCTTCTAGGCACACAAAGTATCAAAGTATACCGGTTCTTTCTTTGTCAAACTGCACTGATGCACCGATGAGCCACTCATTTCATGAGATAGGAATTTCGGAAAGGCCAATTTGGAAGCGAAAAAAATCAAACAAATGATATTTTTGTTTTCACAATGGTGTTGGATACATTTGCAAACAAAATTTTCGAAAATACTTTTAACTCGTAAAAGTTAGTGAAAACTCCCCCATTGTTCGTATTTTGAGTCTGATAAATAGCTGAAAGCTATATCGGACCTCAAAAGGCGATAAAACCTAAATATACGTTAAAAAACAACAACACTTAATTGTCAACATTTTTTACGATTCGATGTACCTCATAACAATTCTGATTCAGTTAATTGATGAAACTATGTGTTAGAAAAAGTATGCGTTTTGCGCAGTATTTTCTCCGGGATTCAAAAGTTGCAGCTATTAAACAAAATGTGTTTGCGCTTTAATACCTGGAGTTGCAAAACGACCTTAATTAAGGTGGCTCCCTATAGTATTTATCGGACACTACCTTTTATTTTTATTCGGCGTATTAGCCTTAACTTACACCTATGTACTTGGTTTTTCGATCAGTTGTAGAGCTAAGATGAAAGTTTTGAATGAAGCTAATTTCAGCTTGATCAGCATAACCTTGTAACGATAAACAATTTTACAATAACTGACAAATTTCTCGCGCGCTGATTGGTTAATTTTTATCATCAATAAGAGGACAGACAGATAAAGCTGACGTCAACGAGCGCGCGCTCTTTCCGTTAGTTGTTTTGATCAGTAAAAATGAGAAGTTTTTATCGTTTTTGTTATTGTAAAAAACAAATTGACATCAGA